GGCCGGGCCGGAACGGGCCGGGGGAGGAGCCCCAGCACTGAGGGCAGGAGGGCGGAGCGGAGCCTCTACTCTGGCCTGGCCTTGGGGCGGTGCCCGGTGCGGAGGAGGAGCCGTTCCCTGCGTGGGCCGAGCCCGGCCGCAGGGCCAGCGGCGTTGGGCTTTTTGGACTAGATTTTTTTTTGCCTGGTTTGTTGTAGGTTTTGTTTTGGTTTTTTAAACTGGATTCTCAGCAGCCAGCGCCGGCCCGAGGCCCGCTCCCGCCCCTGCCCCGCTCCTCAGTGGACCGGAGCGGGCGGCGGCGCAGGGGCCCCGGTGCGCGCTCGGATGGAAGCGGCGGGGACCGGCTAGAGCGGTGTTACACTTCAGGGCGCTGGTTGTAGCCGTGTTGGTCTAAGGACACAGGAAGACAAGGTTCTTTGGGTAGATGTGATCTCTTATTAGTCCAACTAAATAGTTGGAAAATGTATTTATTTCCCCCTCCCCCTTATTGGCTTCTGTTCCACCCAAGAGAGCTCACACACCCCAGCAGACTCTCCCTCTGCCTGAAGAAGGGTGTTTGTGCCCCACAACTTGCAAAGAACAGTTTTTGCAACTGTTTAGTTGGTCTAATAAAAGCGATCGCGTCTACCCAAAGAACCTTGTTAACATCTCTTCCTAGCAGGAGCGCCATTTTTATCCTAAGAGGATAACTTTGCACATGTGCCTGGTTTACACTTATTGCATGAGTCCCCAGTGAATTGTGTAATATATGTAACGTAGCAGGGACCTAACACTTGTAGTTTCTCTCTCTGGAGCAAAATGCGCATTGTGTCGTGTGTGATGTTGGGCCATGCTGCCCGTGCCCCCTTGGCAGCATCCAGGTTCAGACCACTTTTGCTTATATCTGAAGAGACTGAAACAGTGTGTCTGCGATTGAAGCAAGCACAAGCAGGTCTTTTCTTGGGAATGCTTTTTATTGGTCATGGATTTCTCTCGAAATATTCTAGCATTATAATGCCCGTGCACAGTTCAATTATGTACCAGCCTAGAGAGATTCAGTTCTGTTTCCTTACAGCATAAACTACAACTAAAGCAGAATTAGGACACAAGATATATACATTTTCATTTGCCATAAATCTCTATTGTTTTAGAAAAATAAACGTATCACTAAAATATTCACTTTATATTCTAATAACACACCATAATGGATTCAGTTGTGTCTTCTTGTACTTTTTCTGTCAGTGCTGTCAAAGGCCAGCCATATATATCATCAGTATGCATCACCATGCTGAAATAAGACTTCTTTTCAGTTCTGTCCATTTTGGATACTGAGATTCATGAGTATTTTTCATTTAAATAAGACATGCCTTCCTACAAGCTTTTGGGCTCAGCTCTGTGTGTGTGTGTGTGTGTGTGTGTGTAAAATAAAACAGCTCCTTATGACTGTTTGTATGTGTGTGTTTTATATGTCCATACTGTGTTAAACTTTACATCTTCCAGTGAATACATGGATTTCAATATATTTGCAGTAAATCCTTGCTTCTTACTATATTCATGTAATTCTATTAATTTTGCCAATGACAATTCTCAAAATGCAAGCAATCAATTCCAGAGCTTTGTAGGTAAATGATATTTAATAGATTTATGTTCACTTCGGATATACGCATATGCTGAGATTATATATTTCAAAGCTGCGGAACAAGACGTTATTCTATGAGTCTCTAACAATTTTTTTAAGCATCAGAAACTACTATTTCCTGATATCCTTAAAATATTGCATCGCAACAAAGCATAATTTAACATGGAGATACATGATTCTGTTAACTGAGAGGCTGGACAGAAAATATATTTTGGAACTGATAATTGAAATATTGTGTTATATTTGCTCTGATTTTATTCCTCTTGTTTATATTGAGTATAATCTCAAATTCAACCACATCTGGGTTTCTGCATTTCTTGTGCATCGCAAGGTACTCAGCACTTCAGTAACTAAGCATGTGTGTAGATAAGGGTAAGTACCCTGCCACACAAGGACCAAGTTCATTCAGCATGTCAAAATGGCACATTACAATCTTGTGATGTTAAAAACAAATCGTCAGTAAAAACATTTACACCTACAATAATGATCTTTAATCAGCAAGGATTGGTAGTTCTGATTTCTGTCAACTGAAAGAATCCTGACTACATATTTTGCAATTTGTCAATTTACAGTAAGAAAAAATTGAAAAACATCTGTTACCTTGCATCAGTAGGCAAGTGATGAACTCTTTTGCTATTTATTTTATTCTGTCTGTGACTTGAAGTAAAGGACTATTATGTGGGAATTTTTATCTGGTCTGAATATCAAGCTATTGGCTGCATGTGGAGGTTCATTTCTACTGGTCGAGTACACAGGTGAGCTCTCCAGCCAAGGGACATTAGAGAGCTTCTTCCTGAGCCATCTTTGCCCTTAGAGGAGCCTATTACCTGACAGCCTGCCCTCTGCCCTGCCTGGTAAGGGGGCAGGCTATCAATAGCTGCCTGCCAGGTTTTGAATTGCTGCATGTGCAGCCCAAGAGAGAGATCTTCTTCACTGATAACCAGTGTAACTTGCAGAAGAGCCATTTTTCTTTTGCAAAAAAGCCCAAGAATGTCTATACACTTACCACTGCCAACCTCTGAACTAAGCAAAACCTGGAAAATGACCCTGCTGCCTAATTACACCTGTGCTGTGCAATTGACTCCTATGGGAGCTGGATTAGGTCCTAACATTCAGGATCGAACTTTTCCAGACACAGCTGTATCTTTCAGTCAGAAAGAAGGATAATGAAACTTAGAAGGAAGGTGGGAAGAAAAGCAAACAGAGTGGGATCAGTATGGCTGCTGTCAAGCCAAATTGATAGAAAGTCTGTGGGGGGCAGGGGTTGGAGAGCTGGGGTATGGGG